GACACCCTAGATTCTAGGATGCATTATTCATGGAATTAGGTTGGTTCTGAATATTATGTCAAGGTATTTCTTCTACTGCATAAGTACAGTGGACCCCGGATTACATTGTCATCGGAATAAGTAACGTTTTTTCGTCACAATATTGGCTCAGTGATCATCACTGAACTCGGAATAAGTCATTCATCCGGAACGTGTCCATGTGGCCTGAGCGGCCCAGACACTCCCTGTATAGCCAGTGTGCCACTGTTTACCAGCCAGTGAGGACGATCCCACACATTCATACAATACATTTTGTATCATTCCATTCTTTTCAGTGCTTATAACTGCTAAATAAGCCACCATGGACCCAAAGAAAGCTTCTAGTGCCAGCCCTTTGGTAAAGAGGGTGAGAAACAGTATAGAATTCAAGAAAGAGATCACTGCAAAATATGAGAGTGGAGTGCATGTCACCGAGCTGGCCAGGTTGTATAACAAACCCCATACAACCATCGCTTCTGTCCTGGCCAAGAAAAAGGAAATAAGGAAGCTGTTGTTGCAAAAGGTGCAAATATGCTTACAAAACAGAGATTGCAAATACTGGAAGATGTGGAGACTTTGTTGTTGGTGTGGATCAACAAGAAACAATTATCAGGAGATAATGTTATGCAGGCAATAATACGTAAAAAGGCAAAGCAGTTGCATGATTATCTCGTAAAGAAAATGCCAGGAACTAGTGCTGATATTGGTAAATTAAGGCCAGCAAAGACTAGTTTGAGAGATTTAAGAATCGTAGTGGCATACACAATGTGATAAGGCATGGTGAGGCTGCAAGTTCTGACAAAAAAGCAGCTGAAAAAATATGTTCAGGACTTCAAGGGGTACATAGAGGCTGAAAAATTCAAACCCCAACAAGTGTTTAATTGTGACGAAACATGCCTCTTTTGAACCTACATTACTCAGGAGGAAAAGGCACTCACAAGCCTATGAAAGACAGGCTAACTCTCATGTTTTGTAGTAATGCTAGTAGGGATTGCAAAGTGAAGCCTTTACTGGTGTATCACTCTGAAAATCCCATCGTGTTCAAGAAAAACAGTGTCATCAAAAGTACAGTGGAACCTCAAAAATCGAATGTATCACATATCGAACGTTTCGAAAATAGGACCACTTTTTCGGACAAACTGTGTCCCTATTATCGAATGCTCCCCTATTTTCGGACCACCAGGTTCGGGACTTGTCTGCCTCCCGCTCTATCCGCATCCCCGCGCAGGCCTCGTGAGCAGTCTAGCTTAGTTTATGCTTGAGTGAACACTAACCTGCGCTCTCAATCACGCATTTTACGATTATTTTGTTGTGTTTAGTGCTTGTGGGACTATGAAATAAGCTGCCATGGGCCCAAAGAAACTTGCTAGTGGTACCCTTGTGGTAAAGAAAGTGAGAACACCATAGATGTGAAGAAGGAAATAATACAGAAGTATGAGAATGGTGTGAGACTTGTTGAGCTTGCCAGGATGTATGGGAAAAACAAGTCGACCATCGGTTCTATCCTGTCAAAGAAAGAACAACTCAAGGAAGCTGATGTTGCGAAAGGTGTTAATATAGGGAGTGGATAAGGTGCCTTCTTCAAAGATTAAGGAGATTTGTGCCAAATGGAATGATGTCCAAATGTTTGTGCAGAAGTACCACCCTGAGCAAGCTGAAACAAGCCATCCTTGCAACAAGTTCAGTGACAACCATGTCCCATTTTAGGGAAATGTTAAAGAGGTGCCAGAAACAGAGGACTGTGGACAGTTTTTTTGTGAGACAGGGGTCCAGTGACTCTCAAGCTGGTCCTAGTGGCATTAAAAGACAGAGAAGGGAAGTGACCCCAGAGAGGGCTTTACCTGAAGTCCTCATAGAGGGGGATTCTCATTACAAACACTAACCCCAACTCCCTCTCTCCTCCTCCTTATCTTCCAGATGCCATCACCAATCTTCAATAAAGGTAAGTAAAAATGTTATTTTATATGTATTACTATACATAATTAAAAACTATAGTATTTGTTGTATGTAAAACTGTAATTAATCTCTATAAAATGTATTTTTTTGTGTGAATATTTTTGGGTTTCTGGAACGGATTAATTGTATTTCCATTATTTCTTATGGGAAATATTGCTTCGAATTTCAGACTTTTCGAATTCAGAACTAGCTCCTGGAACGGATTAAGTTCGATTTTTGAGGTTCCACTGTAAATTGTGTGTGATGTGGAAGGCAAACACTAAGTCATGGGTAACAAGGGACATTTTCCTTGATTGGTTCCATGACCTGTTTGGCCCCAGTGTGAAAAAACACCTGGAAAATAAATTGAAACTCAAGTCCTCCTGGTAATGGACAATGCTCCTGCTCATCCTCCAGACTTGGAAGAGCAAATGATGCAGGAGTTTCATTTCATGAAAGTGAAGTTCTTGCCCCCTAATACTACTACTACTCTCCTCCAGCCCATGGACCAGCAGGCCCTCTCAAATTTCAAAAAAACTGTACTCCAAAGCAGTGTTTCAAAAGTGCTTTGAAGTGACCTCAGACACTAAACTGACCCTAAGAGAGTTCTGGAAAGATCACTTCAGTATCCTCAGTTGCATAAACCTTATAGGTAAGGCTTGGGAGGGAATGACTACCAGGACTTTGAACTCTGCTTGGAGAAAACTGTGGCAACAATATGTACAAGAGAGGGATTTTAAAGGGTTAGGGGCTGACCCTGAGGAGCCTATGCCAGTTGTGGAATCTGTTTTGGCATTGGGGAATTCCATGGGGTTGGATGAGAGTTTGGAAGATGTGGAAGAGTTGGTGGAGGACCACGATGAAGAGCTAACCACTACGGAGCTGCAAGACCTTCATCTGCAACAACAACAGACCACAGCTTAGGAAATTGCTTCAGAGGAGGAGGAAGAGAGAAGGAGGAAGGTGCCTTCTTCAAAGATTAAGGACATTTGTACAATGTTCCAGACCTCTCTAGAACACTTTTTTGGGTGACAGGGGTCCAGAGACTCTCAAGCTGGTCCTAGTGACATTAAAAAACAAAGAAGGGAAGTAACCCTGGAAAATAACTTGGTACCTGAAGTCTTTATGGAAGGGGATTCCCCTTCCAAACAATAGTACACCTCCATCCTCTCCCCTCCTCCCATCTCATCACTCATCAGTAAGTCTTCAATAAAGGTGTCATTGTAGTATTGTTTATTCTGCATGTCTCATTGTTTTCTGTGTAGGGAAATGTATATTTCATGTAAAAGCATTATTTTTTAATACTTTTGGGTATCGGGAACAGATTAATTGGATTTCCATTATTTCTTATGGGGAAAATTAATTCGGAATTAGTCAGATTCGGGTTTAGTCACTCTCTCTGGAACGGATTAATTACGAAAACCGGGGTCCACTGTAATAAGGCAATGGGGTTGAGAAAGACCCGCCTTGCATGGGCCAGTAGGCCAACCGCAGTGTTCCTCCATTCCTATGTCGCTATGAGTGAGAATAATTGGGGGCTCGGAAGAACCTGCCTTGAGTAAGAATGATTGGAGGTTCAGAAGAACCTACCTTGAGTGAGAACGATTGGAGGTTCAGAAGAACCTACCTTGAGTGAGAACGATTGGAGGTTCAGAAGAACCTACCTTGAGTGAGAATGATTGGGGGTTCAGATGAACCTACCTTGAATGAGAATGATTGGAGGTTCAGAAGAACCTACCTTGAGTGAGAATAATTGGGGTTTCAGACGAACCTACCTTGAGTGAGAATGATTGGGGTTTCAGAGGAACCTACCTTGAATGAGAATGATTGGAGGTGCAGAAGAACCTACCTTGAGTGAGAACGATTGAGTCAAGACTACCTTGAGAGAGAATAATTGGGGTTTCAGACGAACCTACCTTGAGTGAGAACAATTGGAGGTTCAGAAGAACCTACCTTGAGTGAGAATGATTGGGAGTTCAGAAGAACCTACCTTGAGTGAGAATGATTGGAGGTTCGGAAGAACCTACCTTGAGTGAGAACAATTGGAGGTTCAGAAGAACCTACCTTGAGTGAGAATGATTGGGAGTTCAGACGAACCTACCTTGAGTGAGAATGATTGGAGGTTCAGACGAACCTACCTTGAGTGAGAATGATTGGGGGTTCAGATGAACCTACCTTGAGTGAGAATGATTGGGGTTTCAGACGAACCTACCTTGAATGAGAATGATTGGGGGTTCCGACGAACCTACCTTGAGCGAGAATGATTGGAGGTTCAGAAGAACCTACCTTGAGTGAGAATGATTGGGGGTTCAGAAGAACCTACCTTGAGTGAGAATGATTGAAGGTTCAGAAGAACCTAGAGTGAGAATGACTGGGGGTTCAGACGAACTTACCTTGAGTGAGAATGATTGGAGGTTCAGAAGAACCTATCTTGAGTATGCTAGTAGGCCTACTATACTGCTCCAATTTTTCATTATGTAAAAAGAAGAGGCTTGTGTGAACATGTCAGATAGAGTGAAGGAAGCAGTGCTGTGCTGCTGGAGTGTGAGCAAGTAACATTTATCAAGGTAATCAGGGTAACCAGTGAGCTGGACTACAATCCTGGAGGTTGGAAGTACAGTGCCTGCACTCTGAAGAAGGGCTGGGGATGCTGCAGTTTGCAAAGTCATCTGAACTGTGATATCAGTGCAGTTCTGGCAAGAGTGATTGAACAATGGTGACAACATTATCTTTTTGAGTCAACCTACATTGGTGTAAAAAAAAATTAACAATACAAGACTTTCAGCTAATGGTGAAGAACAAGAGAAATGAAATGTCTACAGTGCTTTGTTCCACTTATGGAACAACAAGTTGAAACAAATTAATTATAATACTTTCCAAGAGTGCTAAAGCACAGGCCATATTTATTTTTTTTACACAGGGTTTTACAAGGTTCCTAACTTTATTTATAAGCCAAGAGCTGTTATCTACATCAGCTCATTTGAAAGCCTTTTTATTGCTATGTGATATACAAATATGGAACAGGATGAAGTGCAAATGATATTTACCTTTGCAAGTCATCCTCCACTGGTATGTGAGACTTTGATTCTTTCTCCAGTTCTTCATCCAACTTTGCTGAAGCAACTTCTCCCAGACGGTCAGCCAGTTGCAGAAGGCGCAGTTTTCCTGCATATTTGATTGCAAGCTCAACAGTATGGTATGAGGGCATCAACTGACAGACTTCCAGCGCCCGAGACTCACGCTCTGTGCGACACGCCAGCTAAAGCCAAACAGGTTAACTATTAATATTTTCTAACCTTTCATTTAACATGTACCTCAGGTTAAAATTTATATGATTTAAAATACCACAAGAACCATTTCATTAACCAGCGTTTCGAACATAAAAAGAAGAATGAGAAGCTTGTGCAACATTTGGGAATCTTTACTAAGAAACATTTCACCAGCCATGGCTTCTGCAGTCCAATACAGAGACGAATGGTGGAAGACGTACGGGACTGAAGAAAACACTGGCTGCTGAAACATTTCCATAACAAAGATAACCAAGTGTTGTATAAATGTCACATTCTTCAACTTGTTGGCTTTCTAAACTATTTATATCATAACATAAGCAGCAGCCAACACCATTATTCTCTATCATCATTACCAATTTTCAGCTATCTTAAAAGATTTACTAGCCTCATTAATTTACTGTTGTATTATAGATATAATTACAACAGAGTTGGGGAAGGGTTTACTGAGGTTACTTAGACATTTAGAGATGTAGCAAAACAGGAAGACAACAAGGATATACAGCATACAGCCAAGGTTTGATTAATGTAAATTTCATTTTAGTGTGAAATTGATTAATGCCAGTTTTTCTCCTCAAACTATTCAAATAAGTGTAAAAATTATATATAATTTGAAAAGTGTGAGAACTTCATTATTCACGCTACTCAAGACCAAGTTGTATATCACTTCTGGCAAGACAGTGATGGAATGAATGTAGTGAATGTGTCTCCTCTATTTTGGGATCACCCTACCTTTGTGGAAGACAACTATTGCCAAATAAAAATCCCAATACAGCCTCTCCTCACTTAGCAACGTACTCATTTACCGACCACTCGGACTTACGACCAGCTCTCCAACCTGTATGCAAACCTAAGTAATGTATATTAGAGATGATTTCCTCTATTCTGTTTATTACAGTATACAGTACACTACTGTATAAACATTTAAAAATATACTAAAAATGTTATAAATGGTGCAAAGGTGACATAAAAAAAAATATCTAAAGATGGTTGACACAAACTCACTACCAGTAAAATTTCTCCTCGCTTAACGACCAATTCGTTTACTGACCTACTCTTAGGAACGGAATCCCGGCGTTAAGTGAGGAGAGGCTGTATAATAAATAACTGTAAAGTACAACAGTTGCAGGCCATAATTTGCTTCCAGCTGATCTTTCAGCTCAAAAAATGAGTTGCTGGGTTTAGACAATTAGGTCATTCAAACACCACTGCTGGGTAAGGTAAGGCAACCTACTGAACCTCAGTGACTAACTGTTAATAAGCAACCCCAGTGAAATGCAACCAGTGTGGTGTGATCCAACAGTGGTCACTTAATACCACTGAACCACAACCAGTGTTATATGATCTAGCAGTGGCCACTGTTAACCCCTTGACTGTCGAAACCCCTAATCCTGAAGTGTCTCCTGGTGTCGAAAAATATTTGAAAGAAAAAAAAAATCTTATGAAAATGTTAAATTATTTTTCTGATTGTTTTAGTCCAAAAAAAAAGTTGGCAGAAAATGAGCCGCATATGGCAACAGCAGCGACTGGCGCTCACCCGGTAAACTTTGGTTTACTTGTATTCGAAGGTTTCCTGTTTTTTGCACTATTTTATTTTTTCACATAACTCATGTGGCCTGCGAGACCAACTTACGGAGCAATGTTCACAGATACATTTGTTGAATATAACACAATTATAGCAAAAACGCTAGTATCATCATATTGTTTACAAAACTTGTTTACACAAACATAAAAAACTGTTTATTACGATTGTTCTATAATATATATGTATACATATATACAATCACTGGACACTTTTCTAGAACTGACAGTCACACAGTACAAATAACTTTATACCAAAGCATTTCCTCTTGCTTGGTATGTACTGCTTGAATGAGAGTCTGCCTTTGAACAAAATCAGACTCATCAATAACAAGCTTCCTGAGGGGTAAAAATACATACAGCACTTTTGTTTCAGGTACATAAACACATTTCTGATCTTATATAACCTGTCGCTTCTGTCTGAAAAGTGTAGCATACATAACAACAGCACAAACTGATTCACTGGTATAATGTCCCTGAAAGCTGGGGTTGAAATCAGGCGGTCTGATGACCAGTATGTGTTGACACTGTGCTTAAATATATGTGGCATAAGCATTATTGTGGCAAAGAACAGATACGTCTCTGCCACAGTTGTGTCCTTCCACTGGTGTAGACGTGATCTTGGTGAAAGAATTGTGTTTGCCATGGTGTACTCAAAGTATGTATTGCTTTCTTGACAATAATGTCCATCAGGGGTTCATCGAAGAATAACTGAAAGTATTCCAGTTCAGTAGTATTGTTCCCAAGTGTACATGATGGCTGTATTCCACTTTGTGTTTCATCAAAGTCGTGTGGATTGGGAACAAAACCGTCACCTTGCTGCCAATCCCAGATGCAATCTGCTGGTGGGTTCTGGATATTGAAAGGTGGTTGTGGATGTTGTGAGAGCGTGGGGTTGGTCGAGGCTGGTTGTGGTTGTGCTGAGTTAGCAGTGTCGGTAGTAGTGTGGCCTGCTGCTGGTGCCACATGACTCATGCCACCATCACTATCACCACCACCACCTGCTGCCTCACTCACATCATTCATACCCATTGTAACAATATCCTCATCTTCACCATCAGTTCATGGTGTAGGCCACAGGATGTACTCTGAGATTTACTCCTCCCCCTTGGAACAACATATGACACACTACCAGAACGCATGCTGCGTCGTATATACTGCCGCTTCACTGGAGAATATTCGCACTCACTGTCACAACTAGAACTGCTTTCAATAGCTTAGAAATCACTATCACTATCACTTTCACTGCTCACATCCGAGTCTTGTACACGGGCAAATAGTTTTCTCTTTCGTCCTGGTACAGATGAGCTTGAATGAGACGGCCCAGCACCAGATATGGATGGTTGTGGGTCGTCTGGATTTTCATCACTAATTACGTTATCCTGGGCGCTGCTTTCGATCACACCCACTCCAAAGCCATGAAATTCACTTTCACTGGCACTTCCATCACTGTTAGAGCTATCACTTGGGAACAAAAGACCTCCAATCCGCCAAGGAGTGAGGTACTTCTTACCGCGAGTCATGGTGAAAATGGACTACCAAGATGGCATTCCCACAATGCACCACTGAGTCTCCAATTTTTTTCACAGAGTGCACACCCACAACTCAGACCCATTCTCTCTCATGTAGGCCTACCAGCTTTCTCCCGCTTCATTTGAAGCCGCTAGATTTTTTTTTTTTTAACAAGTCGGACGTCTCCCACCGAGGCAGGGTGACCCAAAAAGAAAGAAAATCCCCAAAAAGAAAATACTTTCATCATCATTCAACACTTTCACCTCACTCACACATAATCACTGTTTTTGCAGAGGTGCCCAGAATACAACAGTTTAGAAGCATATACACCTACCATCCGACTTACGACCAAGCATGGTTCCGACCAACCAGTCGTAAGTCAAACCTTTGAAAATTGCCGACATACTGGGTAGGGCATAATGTCAAACCTTTGCTCTATAAACTACCTACATAATACTGTAATGTAATATACAATCATTATTTCATTCTTTTTACCATAATTTACTTCTATTGTTATATTTTAATTATTTATGTACTGTATATAATATATACATAGTAGTGAACTGTATTGTAAATTTTACATCGCATACAGTATCATATGTTACTATTATCTTTATGTACTGTCAACACAGTGGAATGGGAGAATACCACTGGTAGTGTCATCCTGCCAGAATGTTGTATAACCTATACCCTAAGTAAAGAGAAACAACTCTGGAACATGTGTAATATGTATCCAGCTGGCCGAGTGGTTGGTTAGCTGTCTCTGTCTCTGTCTCTCTCTGTCTCTGTCTCTGTCTCTGTCTCTGTCTCTGTCTGTCTCTGTCTGTCTCTCTCTGTCTCTGTCTCTGTCTCTCTGTCTCTGTCTCTCTTGTCTCTCTCTCTCTCAGGTACACGTAAGTAAAGTTATCATACATAGTATAAATTACCTAGGATAACCCAAAAAATCCAGACAAAGTGCTATACAGTGGATCTGTGCTCCAGTCCCCAAAATTAATAATAATATTAATAATTATTATTATTACAATAATACATATGTACTAATATTAATAATATATTATTAAACTATAATATATAACAATCATGTACACTCATTACTTACCATAAAATATCTGTAATCTTAATGTAGAGTGAGAGGTGAGTAAACAAGATTAAATGAATAAACGAGAGAGAATGAGAGGGTAAAGGTTCAAGAGTTATGTAAACAAACGTTGTTGTTGTTACCAGCCCGGACACGAATAGTTTCCGTTCACTCTGTCAAGCTGACCAGAAAAAGATCTCATATTTGTTAATTTATATTTTATATGTTATGTAGCATGTTTATTATATAATTTTGAAAAAAAAAAATCCTAGATGGATTAAGCAAAATGTCTATATTAACATTTTATAAACATTTAATGCGCCTCAGTGATTATTATTGTGTTATTACCATTATTAATATAGCGTCTTAAAGACGAATTACATTCTTAATGAGTGGCTCCGAGACAGACAAGCAGACAGAAAGACAGACACAGGCAGACAGAGACACACAGGTAGACAGAAAGACACACAGGTAGACAAAGACACACACAGACACAAAGACACACAAAGTAGACAGAAAGACAGACACACAGGTAGACAGAAAGACACACAGGTAGACATAAAGGCAGACACACAGGTAGACATAAAGACACACAGACAGACAGACACACACAGATACAGACAGACACAGATATACAGGCAGACAGATACAGACAGGTTTATGTGCAACACTGAAAACAAATAGAGAGTTCGAGAGTAAGAGCCTTTTTTACCACAATCTCCAGTGCAAGATTCAGACTTCATCTTAGGGGCCATGGTGAAATTTACTGTCCAGTTAGTACACAGTTAATAGAGTATGATG